GGTGGGACCGAAAACGGGGCGTTGGGTGGGGCGGCCTGGCCTAGGGGAGCTTCTTCTGCGGGCGCCCTAACTTTGCGGGAGGGGACGGTGTCCAGGAACCCGAGGGGCGGGGGTGGGGACGGGGAGACGGTTCCTTGCCAGGATTTGAGCAGCGGGGCCGGACCGGGCGGAGGCGGTGCGGGCCGAGGGGGAGGAGGGAGTGAGGGTGTTGTGTTTTGGTGGGAAGTTCTGGAAATTACCAGGATTCAGCACTTTCTGTACTTCCTTGGTCTGCAAGCCTCCCCCTCCCCCGGCGCCCTCCCTGCTCCCTGGGATTTTTCTCCCGAACGAAACGGGGAGGAGCGGGTCTAAATAAATGCAGCCTGGCGTCCACGATCGGTTTTGCCCGCGTCGCTGGGAAAGGAGCAGGCCCAGCTGGTGCCTGCTTCTGGCTCCCGGGCCTCGTTTGGGGGGAGGAGCTGGGGACCTCGGCTAGAGGCCTCGTGTCGTTGGGGCCCGCAGGCTTCGGTGCAGCTCTGCCCCCCACCCCCACCCCCCCGCATCCGGCACCCGCGTTTCGTTAGGAGACGTTTCCCGTTTCCGAGAGCCTCTTCGGTGCTGGCCACGGGCGCCGCGACCCCCTGGACGGAGACCTGTGTCGTCACGCGTCAGGGCCAAGTGGATTGATGGTTCCCTCCCAGTGCTTCCGAGATCCCTTACGTCATCGCCAGGATGCGTGCTTGTGGAAGCTGGTTTGCCCGTGACTTCGCAATAGGTGTCTCGTTTAGGTCGTTTTGGGGTCGTGACGACTTCACAGGGGCTTTGAACAGACTTCTCATATGGGCGACGTGGCCGCTTTCCCTGATGTCTTCGTGATTGTGTGTGTGTGTGTGTGTGTGTGTGTGTGTGAGAGAGAGGGGGGGGGGGGGGGGGGGGGATGTGGCATTGTTTCTGATAACAAGTTCGAGAGCTTTATCACAGACATTCTTTCTGCCTTTCTCTGTTCTCATTACTTCCCTACCCAGTGCCTTGAAGTCATTACTGTTTGGACAAACACCAGATGAGCATCATCTTCACTTAGGCGGATAGTGTTTCATGCCCGCCCCTCCTCCCCCTCATCTGATCTACACATTATTCCTGACTGCCCTGTTTATTTTTTTTTAGCCTTGCTTCATTAGGAACGCTAGAAACAGCAACAAAACGTGAAAGTGTAGGCTTATTTGCTTGTTTCCAAGAAATATTTCCTGTAGTTTTATATGCAGAAACATTTTACTGGTGTAGTTCTATCCCATTCCCCTGAAAAGGCTCCTTTCTAGTTCTGTATTTTAACTGATGGGTCATATTGGACGTCGATCGGTTAATGGCAATAGGAGCCGTTGTGTTTCTAACTTGCTTTTATTCCTAATCCATTTGGTAAGGGTATGGGTCTTTAATTTTCTTTGTTTGCCTTGAACTCTGCCTTCGCTCCCCTAAAAGGGTCATTGAAGTCTTTAGGGTCCTCAAACCTCTTACCCACCCGGCCTCCCTCACCCCTAGAGGGTGACCTCTCCCTCCTGCTTTAACCGAGAATGAGTGTCTGGTGGTGAGTACTCTTGCCTGCAAACCCAATCTTCCTTTTTCTCCTCAGTGCCTTTCCTTTCACGGAACAAAGGATTTCAGCTTCTCCAGAATAAATAACCACCACCCCAATTTCAACCATCTGAATGTAATTGGCTGTTTTTCTTTCCAAGGCATATTAACATTTTTATTTATTTTTTAGAGAAAGAGGAAGGGGTGGGGGCGGAGAGAGGGAGGGAAAGACGGAGGGGAGAGAGAGAGAGAGAGAGAGAGAGAGAGGAAGAAAGAAAGAAACATCGATTTGTTGTCCCACTTATTTATGCATTCGTTGGTTGATTCTTGTATGTGCCCTGACCCCCTGACGGGGGATCAAACCCACGACCTTAGTGTGTCCAGACGATGGCTCTATCCTACTGAGCTACCCGGCCAGAACCCAAGGCAGGTTTTTTTTTTGTTTTTTGTTTTTTTTAACGCTATGGAGTCAGTTCATAAAAACGAAAGGAATAGCAGGGAAAAGTGGGAGCTAAAACAGCAAAACTCAAAATGCATTTATTTGCCTAAAATAGGGAATGAGGAATTTAAATCTCTTTTTCTCTGGAAGTACTTGATGTGTAAATATTTCACATATCTCCCTTTTCCTGTGCTTGAGCCATAGCTGTTTTTACTTTTCGTGGACTTTTCTGGTTAATAGAATATTATAAGCCTCTTAACCATTTGCACGCCATAAGCATCTATAGACACAAGCAACGCACCTTTTTAAATTAAATTCACAATATGGTGGCAGTTAATTGGTTAAATCAATTTTACATTAAGAGATTTATTGACCATCTAGAGTGGAAAAGTCTGGTGGACATGCAAAAAGAGTAAGTCACTGGGACCGTATGTCATTGATCTTTTTATTGATATTACCTGCCACATAGAGCTCTCTCAAGTGTTTCTTGGCTTGAACATGGCATCTGCCCTCAAGACTTTTATGGTATTACAAAGAACTTCGGAGCACATACACAAAAATGAAACTCAGGGTACATCAATAAGGGGGGTGGGGTGAAAAAGTTACCAGATTCTAATCAGATTAAAGATTGGAAAAGGCTGTTGGTTTTCGTTACAATATTGCTGGTGACTTAAAAGTGTGGCTTTTAGTAGGGGAGGCATATAGCATTTAGAAATCAAGACCAGTTAGAGAAAAGTGTAATGAAATATCTCTAAACAAAGGATTTGTCCTAACAGTGCATTTTGTTGCCAGAAGCTCCTTTACTAAGGATGGAGAAAAAACATGGAAATGAGTGAGGTGGAATGTCACGTCCCCCTCCAGCTGCCTTGCCATGATACTCGCCTCGATTCCAGGGGAGAATATTTATGACTCTCTTTAGGTGGCCTCTGTACTGTCTGGAACCTCCCACCTCCTGGGCCCAGGCGCCATATCAGTGACTGTATCCGATACTGTGCCTTTGCTTTCTAGCAACTGTTTCTACTGGTCTGGAGTAAAGAGACTGTAATACTATATACTAAAGTATTAATTGTGTGGCACTAAATAGTGCAGGAGGAGATGGAGAAGCCAGAGCCACTTACATGCACCAGGCTAAGTGTTAGTCGTTGGCATTTTAGATGGGAATGAGGCACGCCTGACTTAAAACTGGGTTAAGTAACATGAAATTTCAGAATGAGCTCCAGTTTAAATGCTGGCATTTCTGAAATTGTTTTCTCTATCATTTATTAAAGAATTTGAAGACAGATTATTTTAAACAATAGTTTCTTATGTGGTATATTTTCTATGTAATATTTATTGAATGATTGAAATGGGCATTAATTTCTGCTACAGGAGGTGTCCTCCATTGTTGTCAATGGTGTACTACAAGAATGCATTTTTTTGTTTGTTTTTTTAAATATTTTTATTGATTTCAGAGTGGAAGGGAGAAGGAGAGAGAGATAGAAACATCAGTGATTAGAATCATTGATTGGCTGCCTCCTGCACACCCCCTACTGGGGATCGAGCCCACAACCCGGGCATGTGCCCTTGACCGGAATTGAACCCTGGTCCCTTCAGTCCGCAGGCGGATGCTCTATCCACTGAACCAAACCAGCTAGGGCCAAGAATGCATTTTGACCATTTGGAATAATTTTAGGTCTGGGAAAGATTTAATATGTGGCTTTTTTTTTCATTTGACAACAATTTATTTTGAAATTATTCATCTTTCTCTGGGAAGGGGTGAACCCTGTTGTCTGTTTAATGTGTGGCTGATTTTGCATGAGTGCCTCAAACATAACCAATCTAAAGTTAGGTCGCTGGGCGAGAAGTGAAGACAGGTTTCCTCAAGCTGGATTCCTTTCTGGCCCTCACCCCGGCCGGACTCCTTTACATAAGTATAGCTTGTTTTTATTTCAAAGTTATTATCTTTCCTCAAACACTTTGTTCTGTGCTATTTATTTTCCCTGAAATGTTCTTCTTCACCCAACTCTTAAAAAAACTTTATGAAGGAAAATTTCAAATGTACAAAAATAGTGAAGTCGTATAAAAATCACCCAGCTTCAACCATGAACATTTTGCCAGTTCGGTTAATTTTTTAAGGATTAGCTCAAATGTTTCTTGGTGGAAACTTTCCTTGCTTCCCAGCCGGAGGGATCTGGTTTTCTCACTGTGCACCTTGAAAAGTTTCTGCATCTCTTAAATTTACTTTTTTGTTAATCCTCACCCGAGGATATTTTTCTCATTTTTTTAAATTATAGAGAGTGGAAGGGAGGTGAGGCGGAGAGAGAGGAGAGAAGAGAGAGAGAGAAAAACAGAAACATCGATGTGAGAGAGACACATCGATTGGTTGCCTCCTGCATGGGCCCTGATTATACTGGGCTTCAAACCTGCAACCAAGGTAGGTGCCCTTGACCAGGAATCGAACCAAGACCCTTTGGTGCACTCTAACCACTGAGCAATGCCAGCCAAGGCTAGACATTTTTTAAATGAATTGTCTCCTACAAAAAGGAGGAATAACTCATTAGTAACTGCATAATAAGGGTAAAAAACAACAAAAACATATACATTTATTATAATTTAAATTCTCTCTAAATTTTTAAAAATTTTCTATTTTATTTTGATTGAATTTATTGGGATGACATTGATTAATATAATTATAAAGGTTTTAGGTGTACAGTTCTATAACATCACTTGTACATTGTATTGTGTGTTCACCACCCCAGGTTTCCTTCTGTTAATATTTATCCTCCCTTTACCCTCTGCAACCTCCCCTCTGATAGTCACCATACTGTTGTCTGTGAGGTTTGTTTGTTGGTTGGTTGGTTTTGCTTAATCCCTCCATGAATTAAAATGTTAAAGATAGTTAATTTTGATCTTTATCTGATGACAGTTCTTTGCTGACTTGGCTCCCTGTGGATTCCCCCTTTCTTTGCCTATGAGACCCTATTGGGATGCCTTGAAGCAAACACATTGTTTTAATTATAGTCTCCACAGATATTGGGTTGTGGCAAAATATACTGCGGGAACAGTCAAGAATAATAACTAAAAAACAAAAACCAGTCCACAAAAGAATCTTCTGGGCTGAGTGAGGCAATGAAATGAGAAAGCAAAGGGCTGCTTCCATGGCCTGATACTGTTTCTTTGTAACAAGTGAAATCTAACATTTCTGGTTTTTGTTGTTCTTGTTTGTATATAAGTTGGTTGAATTGATTCCAAGCTTACTTTCTTAAACAGAATATTTAACTTTACTAGATGTATCTGATTATTCCATAATTAATGCATCTAATCATATTAACTCATATGTTTATACCATGTGCACTGGGAACACCCATTGCAATGAAAATGGACTATGGAAAAGTCAGCCTTCAGCTGGGAGCCATCTTGCAAATATGATTTTCCCTTGTAAAGCCTCTCCGGAGTTGAAGGATAAAGTACCTTGCCTTTGAGCAGTGCAAGGAAAAAGGCATGTTACTGAACATTTATTTGGAGAGTAAAGTATAAATGTTTTATAGCCTTAGGTAATCGTTTGTTTTGGAAAGACCTATAGTGCTAAGAAGCAGGCTGTCTTAAAAAGAGCCAGATTTGTATTCTAGCTCCATCCTCTGTCAGCTCAGTGAACTCACACAAATTATTTTGCTTTTTTTGAACCTTAGTTTCCTCATTTGCAAATGGACTTTAGTAATATTTACTTCACTTAATAAAGTGAAGTGATATACATCAGAATACTTGGTATATAGTATATCTTCAGAAATATTAGTGGATTGTGTAATTGATATTGTGACACTGTTTAGATCACCTAGCCTTATCTTAAAGATAAAGACTTGGGCTGCTCGTCTTAGAGAATGTGTAATGACTGATAAACACCTCTAGGAAAATGTAAGTGCCGATAAAACTGTTATTTATCATTCAGGGTGGACAGGAAAGCTACATAATACAGTTTGTTTAAAATTCTGATGATAGTCGTAGTTGGTGTGGTTTGGCTCAGTGATTGGAGCCTCAGAATGGTCACAGGTTCGATTCAGGTCAAGGGCACGTACCTTGGTTTCAGGTTGGACCTCTGGCCGTGGTCAGGGTGCATGCGGGAGGCAACCAATTGATGTGTCTCTCTCACATCGATGTTTCTCTCTCTGCCGGGGGGAGGGCTGACCAGCAGCCCCTGAATGGCGGATGAACAGATTACTCCACTCCGACACAGTTTCACTGTGGGGGAGAGGGCTGAGGGACAGCCTGGCTGACGGAGCCAGGCCTCCTCGATTGCCTGCCTCATTAGCCTTTATTGGATTTTTTATCTTTAGATACAACCAGTAGGTGAGTAATCTTGGCAGGACACATGTGTTTACACTGTCCTCTAGGCAAGGGCATCCAGGGATTAAGCATAAGGATTCCAGTAAACACCCGGGGGTCTGCACGTGCACAGACGTGTTTGGAAAGGTCAGGGAATAAATAATCAGGGGCGCCACTTTGACACTCCCCCACGTCGGAATTCCGATAAAACAGGGCAGACGGCCTTCCACACACTTCCCTTTTATCAGAATGTCCTCCTTACAAACTTTCCAACCAAGTCTCCCCAACATCTGTCTCTCTCTCACCATCCCTTCCACTCTGTCTACAGATCAACAGACCTCGGGTGGGAATTATCAACAACAGCAAAAATTTCTGATGATAAGGCTCAAACATTCCTTGAAAGTATCAAATGTTCAGATTTTCAAAAGGGGAGAAGGACAGATTCTGTGAACTCGAGATAGGAAAGCCTGAGTCCAATTCTAGGTGTGATTTTTTTCTATGAAATCATTAGTACCAGTTTGAGCACTTAAAGGGCATGGTGCATGATACTGCAGGGACTCAAAACTAGAGGCATGAATATTTCCTTTTTAAATGGAGTTACAACCCTCCCATGCCACCCCGGAAAATTTACCAGATAATTATGAAGGGATTTCAGTAAGATGTTTGACAAGGTCTCAAGATGTTCCTCTGGATCAGATAAACAATTTTACTCAAACGTTATTGATTAATGGGAAGAGGTCAGCCTCTTGCAGCCGTTTCACAGATGGAAATACTGATTACATGCTGATTATATTTTCAAACGCAGGATGCAGAGAGAGGAAATCTGTATGGTATCAGAATCTAGATTGAGAGAAGTCTTAACAGGCAAGAGTGTGATAAAGATAAAATTCGATTGTAAATGTCTGAGGGCTTATGCTTGGGCCTCTGAATGTAACTGTACAGGTTCAGATGGCAGTTTAGTGGGATCAAGTGTGAAAAAGAATTAGGGGTTTTAGGGAGTTACTCTCCTATAACATTCAAAACATTTAGGAGGCCAGTGCGATTTCAGGCTGCATTAACTGAAATTTGTCAAGCTGGGGCCCCTGTGTTCTCTCCAGACCCATCTTAGCTTCTTAAATAGTGTGTCCAGCGAACTGGGACCTGTGTGTAGAGGAGAGCAAAGGGGTAACTGTACAGGTTCAGATGGCAGTTTAGTGGGATCAAGTGTGAAAAAGAATTAGGGGTTTTAGGGAGTTACTCTCCTATAACATTCAAAACATTTAGGAGGCCAGTGCGATTTCAGGCTGCATTAACTGAAATTTGTCAAGCTGGGGCCCTTGTGTTCTCTCCAGACCCATCTTAGCTTCTTAAATAGTGTGTCCAGCGAACTGGGACCTGTGTGTAGAGGAGAGCAAAGGGGAGTTAGTGACGTAGCTGGCAGAATGCTTGTGAGAGAAGCAGTGTAAGAACCTGAGGGTTTGCACTGGAGAAGACATTTGGAGGCACATGTCAGCTGTCCGTAGGTGCTAGAGGAGCAGATTTTCTCAAAGGGTAGAATTAAGACTAGTATGTGAAGTGACATAGTCAAAATCTTGGTAAGTCTTTAAAGAATTTAGTCAAGAGGAAATAGTTCTCTATCACTGGATAGGAAATGTTATGGAGGGGGTTCAAGCTTTTCTGATAGCTCATTATACGTTTACCTGATGGCTGTTACATTATCTGATGGATAAGTATATTGGATGAACTAGCTTCTTCAACACCAGACATCTAAAGATGTGACTTTGTAATGGTCCCTATGTTTAATTGTTGCCCTGTTTTAGTTTGTTGTATTGAATCAAATCAATCATCTTTTCTTGGAAACAGATAAGTTTATACTTTATCATATATTTATTTTAAAACTATTCTTATAGTGGTATTGCATATTATTTTATCTCACAGGTAGTCTCCAATTATATATCTTTCTTACTTCAAGTAAAACAATTTTAAATATGGGAAGACCTTTGAAGATTGCTGCAAACTGCTTCCTGATTAATAATCTGTATATATAAAAGCCTAAGCGACCATTACGACAGAACAACTGGTCGACCAGTTGCATGATGCACACTGACCACCAGGGGGCAGACGCTCAACACAGGAGCTGCCCCTTGGTGGTCATTGCGCTTCTACAGGGGGACCACTGCTCAGCACAGCTGTGGCAGCGGGAGCCTCTCCCCACTCCCCTGCGCAGCACTACCCAGTGGAGGCAGCAGGCAGCAGGCGCAGTGGGCTGGGATGAGCGTGAGTGGGGCGGTGCCTGGCCTGGTTCTGGCTCCTCCCTGGTCGCCTGCCGCTTGGCGCACTACTACATCCCCTGAGGGGTCCCAGATTGTGAGAGAGGGCACCCCCTGCCAGAATTTCGTGCTCTGGGCCTCTAGTATAATTGATAAAATATTATCTTCCATAGGTGGTAAACCTGTTATTATCTTCCATAGGTGGTAAACCTGTTGATGGCAATTTTGCTGACTGTGGAGGTAACTCAGTCATTGGCAATTACTATTCATCTGAGAGAATGACAGGTATGTTTTTAGATGAAAATATCTCCTGCTAATTACACACACACACACACACACACACACACACCCGTTATTTCGAAGAGAATTAATTCTGCAGAAAAGTGTTTTGTGGGTTTTTCAAAGATACTCAGTGAGGATTATAATTGAGCAGTTCCAGCCAGAAAATGTAATGGCTAGAAATGGTATTTTATACTTTGACTCCTGTTTTGGTGTGGATATCAGAGGGAAAGAAGGCATTACAAAAAAACTGAGCCTTTGAGGGTCAGCTGACAAGTGTAGCAGAGGATGGGAAATTTGCTCATGGAACAAAAAGGCTTACAGTAAATATGAAGTAGGAATTATTTGAATATTTGGTGATATCTTTACTTAGGGTCACTATTCTAAATATATTTCTGTTTGGATGAAAAAAGACTTGACATTAGAGTTAAAAATAGAGGAACCCTAGCACATTCATAGATATTACCTTTTTAAACCTACACATTTCCTGATAGCAGTATTTTCATTTATCTTCCTCTACGGTTCAGGTGCAGAAAAGTTGTAATATATTATTATAAATTATGTTAGAAATTTAATATTTGAGCAGGAAATTATGCCTCAGACTTCTCAGTGTGAATGATTTATGTTGATTTAAAAAAAATTTCACTTCAGAAGAATGTTCCCAGTTCGCTGTATGTATTATATGTTATATGTTATATTACAGGATCTTAATGATCATTTTTAAAATTATTAGCTTTTATTATAAAGTTCTGTGCTTCGTTACATTTATGACCTGCTCTAATCCATTTATGAAGTTGTTTTTTAAAAAAATTTGGTTGGTAATTCAAACGATTCATTGTCCACAGGGCTAACTTCTGTTTCCAGGAGCAGGTAGTGTTTTGTGGGCATCCATCACACGTTTATGAAAGCTCTAACAATTTTTCACACTTTGTGTCTAAGGTGCTTTTTTAAAAAAAGGGTCTTCTGATTGTCTTTTCAAAGTATCGTATAATCCTTTAATTTTGTTGTCAAATGTGATAGAAAAAATACCAAGAACATATTAGGAACAGCCCTTCTGGCATTTGTTGTTTTGTGGTGTGTGTGTGTGTGTGTGTGTGTGTGTGTGTGTGTGTAGTTGTCTGTTTTTATTTAAAAACCAAAATAGAATGATAAATAAACTTTAGCTCCTAATGGCCATTTGTGGTATTTATAAAATTTTACTTTAGGTTATAAAATATTACTGAACCTCCTCATGTCAGCCTCTTCCCTGGTCATGTGTGTTTCTCTTAAAATTGAGGTGTAGAAAAAGATTTAGGGTTATTGAGATTCCTGTATGTCTGTACAGCCAGCTCCCAGCCTTGGCCAGAGCTCCAGGTGTGAAGTTACAAGTTTATTGTATGTTGCCTGTAACTCTCCAGTGAATCAGATGTATTCATTATCCGTTTTTGTTAGTTATAATTCTACAGAAGCCCTTGCTGTTGAGAGAATAGAAAAACACATAGTTCTTGGTCATGTGGTATCTGTGTTTCTTTGGAAGAATATGAGGAAGTTGAGAAACAAAGAAAAGAGACCTGAATATAGCAGAGAAGCCCAGCTGAAGGATGCGGAGCAGTGAGCTTGGGTGTTGGGGTGGGGAAGAGGAGATTAATTAAGGACAGCCTTTAATTTCAGATCATGTATTTTATCTAAGGCACGAGGGGGCATCTGTAGCATTCTGTGTTTAATACACACGTCTTTTAAGGAAATACCAGCCTTTACCTTCGGTTGAACCCTGCTCAAATCACAAAACCCAACTTATTCTTTTATATTTTATTCCTGATTCTCCAGGCAAAGCTGATTGTTTCTGCTTCTATTGTAACACTTGCCACGTTGGATTTTAATTTGCTGCTTGCACATCTTAACCTCTTAGACTCTGGGCAGAGAGCTGTCTCCCTAGCAGGGTACCTGGTTCATGTGCCATCCTATAAAAATCCTAATATGCTAAGTGTCTGGTTGTCCAGTCGTCTGTTCAACCAATCAAAGCGTAATATGCTAATGGTATGCTAAATCAGCTCAACCGCTCGCTATGACATGCAGTGACCACCAGGGGGCAGATGCTCTGACCCGTAGGTTAGCTTATTGCTGAGTGAGATGGGCTGGACATGCCCTGGAGCCCTCTCTCGGTCCCTCCCCAGCTGGCCAACCTCCCGCATCTCCCCACTCCCGATTGTGCACCAATGGGGTCTCTTGGCTTGGCCTGCGCTCTCTCACAATCCGGCACCCCTCGGGGGATGTCGGAGAGCCATTTTGGCCTGATCCCACAGGCCAGGCAGAGGGATCCTACTGGTGCATGAATTTGTGCACTGGGCCTCTAGTCCTTTAATAAGTATCAGTGAGTTGTAGCAGTTTAACAAACAAGAAAACAAAGGGACTAATTGCTTAAGCTTCATTACTTAAAGCTGAGGCAGATTTTTTTTTTTTACCCTCTTGGATTTTTTTACCCTCTCAGATTTTTTCATAGCCAATCTTGAAAATACTTTGATGTTTGTAAGCTAGCTTTGAAGTGTTATTTTTGTCATGAAGAGTTTTGTTCTTTTTGTGTAAGTTGCTTAATTAGATTTTGGTTTTTGTTTTCTTAGATAATGCCTGTGTTCTTTTTGCCGTCTCTGTTCTTATGTTTATAATCAGTTCAATGCTGGTATATGGAGCAATTTCTGTAAGTATCCTATGTTTTCAACTTTTGGACTTTGCTTTTTACTGAACGGTACTTAGTACTTTGATTTATGTGATGTTGTGGTTGTTTTTTTTTCTTCAGTATCAAGTGGGTTGGCTTATTCCATTCTTCTGTTACCGGCTTTTTGACTTCGTCCTCAGTTGCCTGGTTGCTATCAGTTCTCTCACTTACTTGCCAAGAATCAAAGAATATCTGGATCAATTAGTAAGTGTGTATGCTAATTAAACTTATTGTTTTCCATTTTAAGTAAAATATTTAAATTTAAATTCTTAGCTTTTTAGGCACTATTTTTATTTTAACCGACCCTATTTATTTTTTTAAAGTGTTCTAAAATAATATCACTACTCTTAACTACCATGTTGAAACCAGTAAGATGAAAATAGAATTATCTTCTTACCATACCATTTGGATAGTCAATATTAGAAATCCCTAAAAATGGTTATTATGGAATTTGAGGAGTCGTTCAACTTTTGTTTTCAATAAACTAAAAGTATAATAATTCGACTGTACTTGGCACTCATTAAAGTATTAGCTTTTTATTTTTGCAGGCCTTCATAGCAAATATTTGAGTGCCTATTGTCTGCTTATTCTGTTCTAGGTGAACTGTTGGTGAATGATGTAGATATAAAGAACCCCCCCCCCCAAAAAAAAAAGAACTTCCCCTTCAAGGAGCAAACCATTTGGGGAGTCAGGACATGAAGATGTTATCTGTGATAATGAACTAGAGCTGTCACAGGACGGTGGTACATGAGGAGCTTAAGTGCTGTATGACAGAGGGGCAGGGAACACTTTGGACCAAAGTAAGGTCTCGAAGGAGGAGTGGGGTCCTGATAAATGAAAGTTCACTTAAAAAATTCTGCCTTTCAAGAATTTGCACCCCACTTTCAGATTTTCTGCCTAATCCATTTTGCGTACCACCAGATTTATCACTCATTCTAAAAACATTTGTTGGTTCTTATGTGCAAGGCACTGCTGGATCCTAGGGATATATCAGTAGAACTTTCTAGTGAAGGAATTGGAAAATTGACAGTTACTGAATTAAAATTGTGATAAAAGCTGTGAAGGGAAAGTGTAGGCTGCTATGTGAGTGGATATCACACAGGTATCAGACCTGAGCTGGGAAGTGAGATTTAATTCCAAGTAGGAATTAGGATAGGGAAAGTGCAAAAGAAAATGTTCCGGGTAAAACAGACACCCTGAAGCAGGAAGGAGCATGGGAGATGGCCAGGGGACTGAAAGGACTGGTGGCTGGCACACAGGAGGAATGGAAGGAAGGAATGTGGCGAGGCTGGAGAGAAGTGGCCAGCACAGGGCCTGTTGGCCTGGTCAGCAGCTTCCTAAACACAGTTCTCTCTGCTGATGTCATCGCTGGCTGAAAATTGCAAGCCTTCTGAATAAAGTCATAGCATTTCCCTCATGAGCTGGTTCCATTATGTGTTTGTCCTTTTTATTTAGAGGTGAAGAAAGCTTAAAGAATTGTTTTGTCCCAAGGGAACACTTAGTTTGGGGTTCGTGTGTAGATTTTTCTTGCTTTTTGGTCCTTTGGGATTTCTTTGTGCTACTTTTTTACAAAAATGTGAGATTATTTGTGTTGACATTTCCATTGAAAAACGTGGTTTAAAACGATTAAATGAGCCATATAGAAACCCACGAAAATTAAATGTTTACTACTTTTACAGACCTCACTGGTTTCTCCCTGTTTTGTTCGCTTGGTCTCTCAGCCTGGAAGGGACTTTGTCTGTTGGCCACCTTGTACATCCTAAACTATTCTTCTGTAATGCCCCTCTCCTTGAACCTAGCTCATTGCCTCGCACACAGTAAATGCCAACTGAATATTTGCATACATATAGCTGATCCTTCTCAGTAGAACGTGGTATGCCTGCAGTAAGTCACGTGGTCCGCCTGGCTTTCTAACCAGGGGCATGCCTTCTTTTGCCCCTCCTAATGAGCAGGGAGACTGACGATTGGCTTTTAGATGAATTATTTTCCCCAGGTAGAACCAAATGGCCCATGGACTTTAGATAAATATCAGCACTTCTGGATTTAGTGATTTTGAAAAGAAAGAAAGTGAGCTCAATTTAGACTCTTAGGACTCTTCTGAATATTCAAACAAATGTATTTTAAGTGATCCGTCACATGCATTAATGATGAGGCTTTAAAGTACTTTGAGTTAAATTCTGTAAGTTTTTATTAGAATATCAGTTCTGACTTTGGTGCCTTTTGTTTGTAGTTGTGCCATTCTCTTTAGGTTGTCACAGAGGGCAGTTGCTGTGGC